CTACATAAAGATTTTGTAGATTTATATATATATAATATATATATATAATATATATATTATATATATATTATATATATATATTTTGTAGATTTATATATATATAATATATATATATAAAGATTTTGTATGACATCACATGGTGATATAACTAGCTGGTATTTCATTATTCCTTTTTCAGAAAAAAAGACCCTTGAGTTTTAGAAAATAATCAAACATATTCACACACTGGAGAAAGTACGGAGATTAAAGATATCATAGACGTCCAAATTAAAATTTATAGGGAGCAGATTTTTCTACTGAAACACTACTTCGGTGAGAAAATCTTTTACATAATCTTTCTAAAAATCTTCATCAACTCCCCAGATGTGTGAGATACAATTTAGGGAATGATTTTTCACAGTTGTCAACTCTCTCCTGTGAATGACACGCAACATTAAAAAATTCCTTTCTGACTCGATCAATATGCATATCCAAGTATTTTCCCCCATCTTTTTCTCTCAAAGGATTACTATAGTGACTTCCCTTGCCTGAGGGAAATAAACCGCTTTAGGTCCCCTGCAGACACAGAGCCTCGCCACCAGGGGGCGCCCGTCCTCCATCACTTCATAATCAGACCTGTCACCCTAACGTGCAACAGCCCGCCGTGTTTTCCCAGGAGGCGGAAATATAACCTCATGCTTGTCACAGCTAAAAAATGAAATGCAGAATTTACACAGAATTCTCAAAATGTTTTATCTCCATTGTCAGTAACCCCCAGCAGATCTTTTACTTTATTTTTTCTTTCAATAATTCACCTATGAAAAATACAGCAGCAAATCAGGTAGGGTCTCTCTTATCCATCAATCAAGTGGCAATTTTCGCAATGTATGTTACCATAGCACCCGCAGCCTGAGACGCTCTGCTACTTCTGTGTTGTTAGTGTTGGCTCACCATTCCAGGTAAGCAATCCAGGATTTCTCCAGGGGATTCTAGAAGAACGCGAGGGAGTGTGCAGGGGGGAAACCCACGTAATTATCACCATGATGGGTTGACAGCGCAGAACCCACAAAGGACTCCACCCCCTCACTCTGAAGACGAAGAAACAGTTTCTAAAATAGCAGAGTATTGTGTGAACCCACCTTGAGAACAGAGCCCACCTCGAAAAGTTTTAGCTCAATAAAGCCTGACATCCAATGACGGGCTTCACCCTGACAGCACCTTGGAATTTCTCCCTAATTAATTTCTCAAACACCCCTTCAGCAACGCCTCAGTTTTATCCTCTAACAGAAAAACCAAGGGAGATCTCAGGCAAAGTGTCTTTCCTTCATTACCTAAGACAGAAGCAGAACTTAACAATAGGAGGAGGCTCTTCTCTCCTCTAGTTTTGTGGTTAAAACATCTGTCCTTCACCTTCAGCAACAGCCTCAGTCAAAGACATTGTACAGCCATGGACATGCATTCTCAGATATTTCATTTCTTAAAAGTAAGCTACCGGCTTGCCAAGGATCATAGCAGCAGATGACCAAAATGTAGACATGTAAAACACGCCCATGTAGGACATGGGTAAGTAATATAAGCCTCAGAAAGAAATGATGCAATAAGGTTGCATCTAATAACTTACCCAAATTTTAAATAACTCCTGACTATTGAAAGGAATTTTGTCTACTCTGAACCCTCTAACTGGTCCCCTGATCCCAAGGACTGAGATGTACTTTTTTGGATGGATAACAGGAATTCTAAGCATCAGTATATATCTAATAAAAGCCTAGATGACAGGAAGACCTGGAGTCCTGTAATCCCAGTCTCTAAAAGATTGGATGATGCAGGGGACGCTAGGAAAAAAAGCCAGAATCACGCCACTGGTTTGTCACTATGGAGAAGCACCTTGAACAAAACTGACCCTCACCTGGACAGCATCTGTCGGCGAGACTTTTGCAGTCACGTGCTCACTGAGTACTTTTTTGAGATGATTTTTAGAGGGAATCTCTTTCCTTCTGGAAGCTTCTGAATTGGATGTATTTCCATTAGTAGGGAGACCATTATTAAAGGAATTTGAAGGAAACTGTCTATTCCTTCAACTCTTGATGATAAATGATTATATTTTTCAGCATACAGAATGGCAATAAAATCATTTATTAATTTTTTAAAAAAGAGGAATTACTGGAGGCAAGATGAAGACCAACCTACTTGGTGAACTCCTTTTAGTGAAATTGGGTTTAGTGATTGCCATTTACTCATTTCATTGAGGGGGGAGTTCAGCAGATGTGCTGTTCTGTGTGAGCTGAAACGTGGCTATGAGCCTGCTTCCCAGTGGGCCTCAGGTCATGTGCAGCCAACTGGGGAACTAGGAAAAATACTCCCATTTCTCGACTAGACTTAGTCTCATTCTGAGTACAAAAGACGCTTCATTCACAATGCGTAAAAGGTGTGTGAGATGACTCAATACGCACTCCAAGTATACCTGAAGGGTGAGTTCTTTGGATCTTCATGTCTATCTGTAAGAGGTGAACCTTCAAAGATCGTGTGACAATGTTTGGAAACAAATGTTTTATATGTAAAAGTCTTACTAGTTTCCCTACAAATGTGAGGCCACTGGGCTCCTGGGCAGGGTTTCACCAGTGGCCCCGGGAGCTCACTTCTTCCCAGAAGGAGATGTTCTGGGGACCCTGGTGTCTGGGACCCTCATCAGTAGTGACATGGCAGCAAGCAATTCCCACCTGCAGAAATCTCTCCTGTTCAAGTCCAGCAGCAAAACTCAAGGGACCTCTGTGACCCAAGGTGGATAAAGGATGGCTGCTAGTGATAAGACACAGAAGAATTCTTCCAGGATGCCTGGGTCACAGCTTAGAAAAGAGGATCAATCTGAAAATCAGCACCATTGTTTTGGTCGAAATTTTTCACAGCGCTCAGGGACCAAATGCCTTCATAATTTATTCTGCACATTTTTGAGAAGTAAGAAAAAGAACATAGGCCCAGCTGACAGTGGGGAAAGAAGAGTCAGATTCCCAAATATTCAGTGATGAGATTCTCCCAGAAAGCTTCTAATTTTGGTGGCATTTTCCCCTGGATCCGACAAATGATAAATCTCTCCTCTTTTCCTATTTGTTTTCCTTAATGATGTAGATGAAAAAATCTGACTTTGAAAGACCCAAAGACAATTAAAAATATAAGATAGACTTTCTGCACATGTGCGAAAAGAGATTAATTTCCATGTTTAGCTTTCTGACGGCCTTGAAAGTGTATAGGGAAGGCGATGAACGTTCAAACCTGTATTTCAGATTCAAACATACAGATAAGAGACCAGGAAGCAGGAGGAGATAGACAGACGCCTCTCCCTTCATCTGAGGTTCTTTTCTGCTCTGAAAATCTAGTGAAGCTGTTGACCTTCTCTAGGAAAAAAGCTACATGCATGAGAATGAACAAGAATACAACCTTTACGTAAAATTCCAGAAGTTTCTCAGAAGTCCTAAAATCACAGACACCTCATTGGTCCTTAAGTCAAGAGATGAAGACCTTATCTTGATGACCATTTATTGAAGTTTTGTGTGGAAGACAAATAAATGAATAGCCCGTGACTGGTGAATTCTGGCTCAGATTCAAAGGAAGAAGGTGTTAATATCTTCCTTCCTTCCTTCCCTCTTCCTTCCTTTTATCTCTCTCTTCTCTCTCTCTCTCTGTCTTCCCAGTAGAGAGGAACCATATGAAAAATGATCTCAGCATCAAATCAGTGGAATAACAAAAATAATTGGTAAATCACTTTACATTCCACAAATCGCTTCCTTATGTACAATGGCTATTGCCTATGGATGACGTATCTCGTGCAGCTTCTCTATCTGTATTCCTCACTGCAGACATGCCTGAGGGGTATCGCTATCACTAATGTACTAACGAGGAGATGGTGGCTCGGAGAGAATGCATGAATAGAAACAGGAGGAAAGCCCATGTCTCTTAACCTTCATCCAGATATCCTTCCCATAAGTTTGGGCAGCACAGAAGTCATCCAGTGTGCAGGCAGGCGTTTAGGGGAGAGCTTTGCTGGACAGTCTCTTGATAGCACATCACTTAGAACAGGATGGGTTATGGATAGGCATGGAAATAAGTGCTCTAGAAAGAATCTGATAAATTCTCATGTTGAACATCTCAATATGTCACTCTGCTTAGAAGGGTCTAAAGTTTATTATAAGAAGAGGAGTTTTCATGTTTCTTCGTACATATGATGGTGTCTTATCCTTAAAACTTGAAAACTAAACATGCTGCAACTCAAGCCATCCAGTTACAAGGACACGTAGCACATTTTTACTGAGACAGCGTGAAGCAACAACTCTGATTATCACATTTCTGCAGCAAAGGGGATTGTTCTCGCTTGTCTACTCAGCATTTATTTTTAAAAAGCAATCTACTCTTATCCTTTGCGTCTTATTCTACGTCTAAATTGTGTAACACGTATAAATACCCAGAAATTGAGTGCTGCTACTGGTGTTTTGCCCAGTCTGAGTCATTTGGTGAAAGAGGTAAACAATTTAACCGGACTCTAATACACATACACACACACAAGTAACTTAAATGGGCATTTCTTCATACTCTCGATACTTATTTAAGATAAAGTAACATAACACTTCTCAGAAAATAGATTTGGGACCTAAACTTGTTACCAGTTTGAAGAAGAAACATAATTTTACCGCCTTATCACGTCATCTGTTCTTAGGTTAATACAAAGATAAGGCAGGTAGAACCCAACCGACTCTAAGTCAAATTTAAGCAAATCCGAAGATTGCTAACGTTTTTCCATTTTATCCTTTTACAAACTTAATGATGGTGGTCATAGGTAGACGACACATCACGTGGCATCTCCAAATCAGTTTCGGGGTCCTTTCAGGGCTTCTGTGAAGGAAAGCATGGAATAGTCCCAGCCGAATCTTCAGGGTTACATAGGTGGAAGGAAACCCCCAACCAAACAAACACCACATAAGAAGCAGATCCACCACGAGAGGCTGGGTGCCAACACCTGCCCTGCACTGTACCTGTACAGATGAAACTGGAGAGTCCCCCGTAGATAACTTCATCATTGTCGGGCAATATGAACGGACACCTCGTCTGAACCTCCAAACAGTATTGCTTGCAAGGAATTGTCTTTCTGCAGTTCAGCTGTGCGACTTCAAAATACTGGGAACACAGCCAGGCTTTGTAGACAATCTGAAAAAAGAGAAGAATCAAAAATAGGGCGGGATGACAACGGTTCTGACTGATAAAGGACATGCTGTACTGTGAGAAACATGCTAGGGCTTCAAGCGGATCATAAGAAAACTCACACTTGGAGACAGCGTATTCACACAAGGCCAGCTGCAAGCGATGTCTTGGCAACAGAGCAAAACATTTTTTGATTGAGCCCTTAAGAGAATGCAAAAGGTAATGTGGCGTTTGAGGGGATGTAACGCATGTGAAAAACAGTGGAGTTAAGCAGGGCCTGAAGTTTTTAAAATCCAATGATATACAAGAAAGGAAATAACTGTGGATCCGCCGTGGTTATTTACTGCAGGGAGCGAGAGCCCTGCAGACACCGGCTATTCCCCCCAAGGGCACTAGATGGCGCTGATTCCCCTACAAAGATGCCCCCGCGGGCTGTGCAGAGGCGGCTGGTTAGAGCTTGAACTCCAGGGCACAGAACAAGCAGCGGCGGGCATTTAAACTGATGACTCACATCAAATGCATTACATATCTCATCGTCCGAAAGCCGGGAAACACCCAACCTAAATCAGACACTTTATGTCGTGGTGTGGCGAGGAGAACGAAGAAGGAAACCTCATCAGAGCCGCAACTTGGACCTTTAGATACTGTGATCCACATCGATATTCGTTAAGTATTTGCTTAATTTAATAAAATGTGAAAGGACTATGAATTCACCTAGCTCTTTGTTTTTGATAGGTATTTAGGAAAGTAGATATCGAAAAAATGCCTTATTCTAATATAAGGGAACAAGTTGAAACTAGGCCCAAATAAAACCATGGCAAAGTATCACCATACAGATGGCTGTGACTCAGGTATTTCCCAGACCCTGGGCGCTGATGTCTTCTGTTTACCTGTTTCTAAGGTTAATACTAGCCTGGTAAGATTCTGTCGCCTACGTTCTGCCTGGAAAAGTGGATGGTGTACCGTTAAATGTACACTAAGAGATCATAAATACCTGACAATAATAGCAAGAGTAATAGCGAGTATTTATCAATTTCACACTCTGTTCTAAGCAAGGTACATACATTTTTTTCCCACGTAATTCTTAGCACACACATAGAAGGTAACTATTGGTCACACTTTGCACACAGATAATAATTAGCAATGGAAGTAAGTGGACAGCCTAGAATTCAAGCAGAATCTAGATAACTCTTGCCAGTATACTGTGAGGAGAATTCTTGGGTCAGGAAAGGGAGAGAAATAAACATCTCTGAGATATGTTCCAATGCCTCCCTTTTATTTTTGAGGGAGGGGGGTTGAGAAAGTTAGATGTTTTGTGGTGGCACAAAACCAAAGAAACAAGATGATTAACTTTTAAAAGCCCTAAAGGATGACAAATGAATACACTTGTCTTCTTTCATAAGAACTCCGTAGTATAAGGAAGACCAGAAATCTTCTTTATAATGGCTTAGCCTTCTCCTATGGAGAGACATACTAAGTCATCGCTTTTCTAGGTGTCACTGAATAGTATAAATGATTATCTGATGCTAAACAATAATTTAGGGAAGGAACAAAAACAGGTTTAAGGTCTCTGATGATAAATGACTGGTTCAACTACGTTTACCCCCATCTTTCTTGGAGGGCTTGTACTTTCCTCTCTCTGTGGAAGTTACGTTTGCCAGGTAACTATGCTCGTGAAGGACAGCTCACCCCACCCCCGCTCTGCTGCTGCCTCTGGAAATCACTGCTGACAGTACAACAAATTGTTTGACAGCTGCCCATCCTACGGTCAATAGAAAATACTCTCAAGCTACAGTATAGAAAAGGAACTGACTAGACTATTAAAACGGCCTAAAAAAGAATGACATTTTTACTTAATAGCCAGATAAAAATTTTCTCTTTTTCTCCCAGAGCGTTTTCTCATTTCTTATTTTTCCCCCTGAACTCCCTGAGATGGGTTTGGGAAATATTTTACAAATAAAGAACCTGAGTTAGAGAGAGATTATAGTAGCAAATGGACAAAATTCAGGCCAGCACTTCCTTCACTGGGCCCTGGGGTAGCTGGACCTCTTCTGAGAGGAAGTGGAAAGTGATGACAACATGACAAAAGGTGGGTCTCTGGAGTCCTCGAGGGGAGGGTGGCAGTTCAGAGGGGAAAGGTCCTAGAGGTCATCTAGCTAAGCCTCTCATTTTAAAGTGAGAACTGGGGCCTAGGAAGATCACAGTTGATGGCAACCTCAAATCCCTGCCTTCTTGGATGATGTTTTAATAACACAGCACATTACTGGGAAGGCATCAACTGAATCATTCTTAACGTACCTTTTTTTTCTTTCTTTTTTTTTTTTTTTTTGTACGCGGGCCTCTCACTGTTGTGGCCTCTCCTGTTGTGGAGCACAGGCTCCGGACGCGCAGGCTCAGCGGCCATGGCTCACGGGCCCAGCTGCTCCGCGGCATGTGGGGTCTTCCCGGACCGGGGCACGAACCCGTGTCCCCTGCATCGGCAGGCAGACTCCCAACCACTGTGCCACCACGGGAGCCCTTCTTTTTTTTTTTCAAGTCAAGTCACTTCACCCCAGATCTGCACTTTCCAAACCTTCCCTTGAAATTCTGCGCAGTGGCTGTAATAATCACACCCCACCCCTGGGCTGATTTCTGGGTCTTCTCTGCACCAACATCACTTTACAAATCCCCTCGGTTTCGCGGGCCTAATGAAGGTGTGAGGAGAGGAGGGGAGATCCCAGGGAGCTGTGGTCTACTGAACTCATTTCCAGATTCCCGATGAAGACGAGTTTTTTTATTTTTTAAGATAATTCTCAGTTTTCAGGAAAGTTCTGGTTGTAATGGTACAAGCATGGTTGAGAGGAAAATCCCAGGAGACAGACTGAGTGAGGGGTCTCTGTTCCCTGATTACGAGAAGTGATGTTAAGCTACGGGACTCTAGGAGGGGGATGCTTTATGTGGCTAGAAATATTGTTCATTACGGGTTATACCCAGTGCCCTGAATAATCATGGCTTTCAGGCTCCTCTTTACAAGTGACGTCATCATGCACCAGCGTGACGTCAGCATGCACCAGTGTGACGTCAGCACGCACCGGGTCTCACGACCTCTCTTGGTTCTGGGCGTTCCACACGACCACGGCTCACCTCCTGTAGAGCCTTTCACAAAATGCCCCAGATTCGTATTTTTCCCATAGGGACTTGGATTCTCATTTCTTTTAAGTATACTTGCCTCCCTTCCCCCAAATTTATATTCACGTTTTAGAGCAAGGGAACCAATTTATATTGCAAATATATGTTAGCTGGCTGAAAAAATATGTCGGTTACAATTTTTTATTATTATTTTTTATGCAGAAAAATGTCAGGTATTGAACATGGTTGTCATCTTCAAATCAGAAGGCTGTTTTCCCTTTTCCCCCAAGAATTACTAAGGGCTAACCCTTCTTACATGTATACCATGTGCTGATGCGTTTTCTGAGGCCCTTCCCTGGCAACTCTAACGCGTGAGTGGCGTGTGTCTGGAGCACGCGGGGCTGAAATCGCTGGTTACGTAAGCAGTAGTCTGCGGTGGCGACCGCCTCGGGCTAATGCACTTTGATGCACAAGGCATGTTGTTACAGTTGTGAGTGGGGCAGGAGGTCGAAAGAAATGTTCGCATGCGTATATCTGAGCGTCTTTCCTTAGCCCTGTGTCAGTGTCTGGTAAAGCACACGTGGCACCCAGAAAATGGAAATACTGACATATTTTAAGAGGGAAGCAAGAAAACAATCCCTGCCTGAGGATGCGCCAGGTCATCTGAGGAAGAATATTCAGAGATGGACAGTGTAAGGAGACAGGCTCCTTGATCCGCCTAAGCCTTACAATGTCAGCACACCTTGTCCCGCGGGGCTGCATCTTCGCTCCATTTCCTGCGTCGAATGCAAGTACCTTCCTGTTTTCTCCTGGTGACCCGCTTCGTGGGTCCTGTGATAACACTCGGTCTAATCCCCTGAACTTCAGAACGGCCCTCGCTTCCTGGCACCGCCCTATGTTTTTAAGTCCACCCAATCCATTCTCACCACCACCCTAGGCTCAGTCCCTTCAGGAGAGGGACTCCGTCTGAAGAAGGCAGGGCCAGCCCGGCTCCACCTGCTAGTCGGGTTTGATACCTGGAGGCCCACAGACGTGATGGCAACGATGACAAAAAGCAAATCAACTCTTCAAGCTTTCCTGAATAGAGGATGCTACCATCCAACGATGATCTTGGAAACGAAGGAAACCGGGGAAGAATTTGTCAGTGTGTCTCCTGCACTGTCCGGGGCACACAGGAAGCCAGCTTCTTCTTTCCCTTCTTCCTCATTAACACAGTAAGTCCCCTACGTACAAATGAGTTGCATCCCGAGAGTGCGTTCGTTAAGTCCAATTTGTTCGTAAGTCCAATGAAGTTAGCCTAGGTACCCAACTAACACAATCGGCCATATAGCACTGTGCTGTAATAGGTTTATAATAATTTTCACACAAGTAATACATGAAAAAGAAACAAAAAATAAAGAAAACACTTTTAATCTTACAGTACAGTACCTCGAAAAGTACAGCAGTACCAGCTATGTCACCACTGCTTTTAGGTTTGCTTCCGGACATCCTGGGCTTGAAATAAAGACACTGTGCTACTGTATTCTACACAGGACCGCACAGTAACGTACACAAAAGCACAGCCACTTGTGGAGGATGCACGCACGTGACAACGTACGACACGTGAACTAACTTATGTGACTGGACGTGAGAATACGCGTTCCCATCAAGTCTGCAACTTGAAGGTGTGTGTGTAGGGGACTTACTGGACGCCTCCTGCATTGTCTGAGTTAATGACATCCTTGCTTCATCTTGTTTCCCCTCCTCACCTCACTATGGTTTGGTGTCAGCCTGAACTACTGCACAGAAACTTGTTCTTTCTAAGCAACCTGGCCTCTGTGGTGATAAACCCAGCTGCTAAAATCAGCTATTTTCTTATCTGACTTCTTGGCAGCAATGAGCGCTGCTGCTGAAACTCT